GGGAAGGCTACGCACATTCCGAATCGCGATGATCACATGTGGTCTCATGGACGCCCTTTTTTCCCCTGACGAAGCTGCCAAACAGGACTCTCGGATGTTTGGCTGGCTGCCTTCGCACCGACTGGAGGCACCGGATGTGCCTTTCGGTGGCGGAGCCGATCCCCAGTCGACCCACGAAGCCTGTGTTGACGTGAGCCGAGTCGAGCGGGTCCACGAATCCAAGAGCCACGGAATCTTCAGGCACCTCAAACCAGGGAAGGTGTGCACCAAGGGCACACCAGATGGCCGAAAATTCGTGAGATAGGATGGGGCAGGTAGACTTGTGGTATATAGGATATATCCTCTACAAAATCATACAAAATCCCCGTCAAGCCCCCCCCGCATATCACATATATCTTATTTCGGTCGACTCCACCGTTGGGTCAGTCGAGGCCGTGGCGATTGCCGTGGTGTGGCCTGTGTGGCGCAGCACCTGGTTGTGAGCTGCTGCCCGTTTGTGTCGAACAGAACGGGGTGACCAGAACCCTGGTTGACAACTGTTGACATGTGACGTGATTTGGTGGTGAGTGGTTCTGTGGTACTGTGTTGATGGTTTATTGGACCAAGTTGGTTCGTGGTTTCTTCTTTGACGCAGTGATGCATGTTAGTTATTATTCTTTCATTCTTGCTCACAGTCTGCATGGTTTTGGGGTGTGGGCTCGTGGCAGTCAAGCTGGTGGCCAGGATTGAGCCGCGGAGGGTCCGAGATGCTTTGGCTCCAAACGACTGCTGCTGCTTTTCATGGCGGAGAAAGATGCCGACAGAAACTCTGTGGACATGGTGGTTGACCTTTGACGACCCCGGACGCTGTTTGTCCGTTTCGCACATCGTGGCGCTTCCCGTTCCGCTCACTTCGCGCCCTCGTTCGCCTCCCGGCCTCGTTCGGCTCCAGTCGCGGCCGGGGCGATGGCCGACCGCCCAAAGGGCCGGCTGCCAGGGGTCCCAAGTGGCTTCGTGGGATTTCAGTCGAAGTGGGTGATCAGAGGGTGCTCAAACTCGGAGACTCTGAGACTGGGACTTGGTGAAGCAGGCACCACACATCATGAAGCACCACACGTGAGGCGGAGGCACCTGGATCACGACGAAGAAACTCATGTACATGGTTGTCAGCAGACTCAACATGTCGATCCGATCACGAGGATCCTGAAGGTGTCGGTCGACCTGGGTCTTGCCAGAGCCCCAGAGTGCGAGCAGATGCCATGAGTCCTACAACATGGGTTTGATCTAATTATATACTGTATATACTTCATTTTTTGTGACTCTTGACCAGTTCGAATAAATGTAAGGAGAATCAGAAGTGACCATGGGGCAACACACTGAGAACCTTTGTGTTTACATGAGGAAAGTCATTTCGTTGGATGAGCACCCCACTTTTCTCCGACCTGGTGGTTGTTCGAATGCCAGCCCAGCTCCACGGGCCAAACAGGCGAAGCTGATCCGGTAAGACCCTGAACTTGGCCCTAAACATTAAAACAACAGCATTTTCCTAGCAGTCCTAGCACGGATGGCCTTCTACCGTTTGCGCAGACGTGCTTCTTCAGAGCTGAGCAGGGGACATGCAATGTACTGTAGTTCTTCAGTTCTCCGCCGGTCTCTACTCTCTAAGAAGCCTGAAGCCACAGGAGCCGGATGGTGCCGCTCCATCAAGTGCCTTGGACGGATCGCCTGTGAAAGGCACCGCTTTTCAGTGCAAGACCGGCTTATTTATTTTACCATTTTTTTCCTCCACTGCTCTTCTCCTATCCCAAGGCACATGTTCTGATCCACCTTGTTGAAGAAAGTTGTGAAGACTCCATGGCTCAGCCATGTAAATAATAAATCAAGCACGAGCGCAACGATGCCACACACACATCCAAACCCGAGCCTTTCTGATTTTGATCTCGTCGGACATTGCATTGGCATTTGGGTCTGCCTCCTGTTTGGAGATTTTGGGCCATTCATGGAACCAATATGGTAGAGTCTCACATGTCCAAAACGACATGCTTCACCTTAGCTTGGTCCCAACAGTGGCCGGAGAAACAAAAACAGCTCTTGGACTCGGACAGCAGACAGCGGATGTCTGCTTTTTCCATTGGATGCATTGAAAACACAGCTCTCCGTGGCGATGACGCTGTTTACCATTGGCGATGACGGCCGTGTCTTCGGGGCGTTCGGCGGGTGACCAGGTGAAACTCCGGTGATCCTGGTGCACGAAAACGATGACGTGCCCTGGTGATCCGGGTGGGGTGAGGTTGGAGCGGAGGAACCGAGGAAGCCATTCCCAAACACTCCATGTAATGTAGACTCTTGATTAATAACCCCAGCCATTTGAATTGAACATCCTCTACCAGCTTCTTCAAAATGACCTTTTTGGAGTCCCTAAGTGACCTTTTCCAGGCCTAAGTGACCTCAAACCAGGGGATCAAAAGGTCACTTTGAAGAACCAGGTTCATATGGGGGGGTGTATTAATTGAGTGTCTACATGATTTAGCTACATTCACCCCTGAAACCATCCAGTCCCATGGAGTGTGTTGCTATGCCAGTCCGGAGTGTCTGGGATTGACCGATTCCTCCAACCCGTGGTTTATCTCGACCCTTTGCGTGACCCTTATCTCGACCCGGGCGTCAAGGTCTCTTTGCCAACTGCTAAGGAGTTACTGTAGCCGACGGAAAGGCCAAAAACAGGTCATCAACAAAATCAAAGCAACAAAAACACGAGATAGAAGAAAACCGAAAACCACACTAGTGATACTTATGAAACAAAGGGTGTTGGGTCGGGTCAATAGTCGTTTTAGTTCTCGAGGTTTTGGCCGCTCAGGCTCAAAGCTGTCAAACATCCTTTTTAGAATCCTTTTCAAATGAATGGGAACTTTTTTTGTCCAATTAACATCTCAAAATCTGTCAAACCTGAGTCAAACCTTTGCCTTGTTGCAAACAACCCTTAGCACAATTTGCTGTCAGATTGGCTTGCAATTAAAGCATTTTGAAAGCATTGTTAAGATCAATGAGCGCATTGATTTGTGTAGTAGCCTCCTTCCAAATCCTTTTTAAAAAGCAATGTATTATTTAGTTCCCTTTTTGGATCAACATCAATTAAACTAGGGACTTTCAACTGGTTTCCAATAACAACATCCTTTTCAATTCCCATACTGTATAACATACATTAGAGACATTGACGTGAAACTTGTACTTAAAACCAGTTGAATGATTTCGTTTCCTGTGTCTGATCAACATTCCTCAAGTTTATTGTTCAGATTGTATAATTAGAACATTTGTGCCGGCACTATCTATTCGTACGTTGTTTCCAATTGAATCACTCTAAAGCCCTTTCCAAAACCATGTAGTTCAATGATGCTTAATTTGTTTCCTATGCTAGATCTGCAACTACTAGTAGGTTCCAACCCAAGTGATCCGGACCACTCGGACCACTCGGACCACGTGTGGGGCTCGACGCAAAAAAATATCGATTGGACCACTCGGGCCACTCGGACCACCAGGCGTAGCATCCTTTTCATCGACCACTCGATCCAGCAAAAAACCAATGACCAATCTGATGACAAATGGGCGCCCACTTGAAATCCCTTACATAAACATTTTCAACACCAATTAGTGCATGGGTTCTCAACTTGTTTCCAGTTGACAACTTTCAAATCAATCATTCAACACATTATATAGTTAAACGATTGATTTTTATATAGTATCTAAATGTACACCCATTAACTTTATTTGTTTTCAAAGTTTTCTCTGCTGAACTGCTCTAGGTTCATGTTTAACATCAAGTAAAATTGGATTTGCAATTGGTTTCCAATTGAAACCAGTTTTTAATCTATGGACTTTTAGTTTGTTTCCCCTAACAATGTTTTTTGTTGAGCCTCATTTAGACGGGGTGGCCAGCCTTGAGCAGAACAAACATCAAGAAAAAATACCAACCACAGTCCCCAGCTTTTTCTTTTTCTAGGGGGTGGTGCGCGGAAAAGAAACACAAGAGCGAGGTTGCTTTCTTCTTTTTGACCGGGGCACGCCTGTCGACTTCCTCCAAAAGGTGCATGCACGATTCGCCCCCAGTTCGGAGACATGTGGGGATGCTGTAGGTCCTGTAGGTTGAAGGCTTTGCTTTCAAGGTCGGACCTGGTGCTTGGGGTTGCTGATTTTTTTTTCCTCGGTTTGCTGGTTTTCACCGTTTGCCTGGCAGATTTTTTGAAACAACGGAACTTGAGAAACCGTTTTGGCTGAGTCCACCAGCATCACTGGGTGATTGTTGAACACACAAAGTCTAAAGACTCACGCAGACTTATGCGATCTACCTGATGTGGGACCCATCCAGCATCACAAGCAAGATCAAGATCGACGATAGCGCTGAGGACAGTGATGATGACATATGATGACAAAGTATCATTCGTAGTCGGCATCATCATCCACTGTGAAGGGAAACACTTGCTAAAAAGACGTCTCAAATCTCTCTTGCTGTTTCCTTGCATGTCCATTCACTCTTGACTCCTGATGGGGCGGACTGTGAGGCCCAAACTCTGGCAGTCCAGTTTTGTGCCGAGCATGGCCTCCATCAAGACCTGGCCTCGGGCCCAAGCATCTGCCGAAAAACGTTGCGGCCAATGGCCGAGTGGCCCGATGGCTGTGATTTCCATCGGAGATGGCTCGCAGGGGGGGGTTGGTTTTGGGACTCTGAAGAGATATGACCAAACGAAACTGGAACTCTTAGTTTAGTTTTGCTTCAGTATGTTTCTGTCACTTGGAGGGCCTTGTGTTTTTGCGACCACTCAGGTATTACCTTTGGCAGCTCACATCATAGAGAGCCTTGATGCAGCATTGGGCAGCTCAAGTTGGTCGATGGGTCCGATAGGTTCATTTGTTTATCTGAGTCTGAGTTGCTTTTGAGATGCCCAGAGCCACCCAGAAACCACACACGAAAACACCAGCAGTGACACATGCCATTCGAGTTCCACAGCATCACCGGGCCCAGGAAGATGACCGTGGCCCAGGCGACGCCGCCATCGCCAGCGTTCGACCGTGCGCCGCCGGCGCCACCAGCGCCGCACGGTCGGGCAGCTGCGCGGCGGACGGAGGCCGAGCGGCAGGCTGAAGCCTAAGAGGACTTTGTGAAGAGACGCGATTCTCAGGGGACTTAATTAGTATGGTCATGGTATGTAATTATGGTGTAGTGGCGGAGTTAGTGGTGGTGAATTACAAATGGTCGAAACCTGGACAGGGCCAGTGGCCCCAAGGGCTTCTTTATATGGTGTAGCTGGTTTCTTTTGGGGGGGCAGGTTTCCGAACTGTGAGACATTGACAGGTCAAGGGCTTTGACCTTTTAGGCGCTTTGGTGTGTAGCCGTTTGGCTAAAGACAACTGCGACAGCTGGTGCCACTTCGAAGTCCATGGCGCCGATGTCCAAGACGGTAGCTGTCGCTGCTGCTGCAGGCACTGCCTTTGTGGCCCCAAGTCACCATACGTCCAGCCCCAGCGCCGCTGGCGCGCTGAGCGCGCTAAGGGGAGGTGGACGGGTGCCAATGGCATGAGCACTGGGCATGGCGGCATGGGGGGCCACTGCTGTGGCTGTGCGGAGGAAGGAAGGGCTCTCGGCCGCAGCTCCGTTCGGTGTGCACCATTGGGCTTTTGGGATCCAGGCTCTCCCCAGTGACGGTGATACTAGAGAATTCGATCGTCGACGTGTTGTGGAGATTAAGCATGGGCCAGTGTCCATGTTGGCCTGCACGGAAGCCACGGGCCTGGCGGAAAAGTCAACAGCGTGGCAAGACTGCGACGTCAGACGTGTGTCTGTATTGCTGCTTGTTGCAACAGTCACCGATGAGGCGCCGACGGCGCTCTGTGCTCGTGGCCGCCGACGGCACCCTCACCGTGTGGCTCACAATGAGGAGTTCGTCTACCCCGATCATCCTTGACTTTACGAGGCCGTGACAACAATTTTTCTCCAGACTCTGATCCGGAGACTATGTAATTAGTGGGGGTGCATTGTTCAGGAGTTTTCCAGGTTTCCGGGATTCATCTCTCCCTCCAGCAGCCCTTTTGGTGAGAACTTCTGGGATCGCGCAGGGATCACTTTGAAGAAGCTTGGTTGTCCAGAAGCTGATTTTGGTGTTTTTTTTTGCACTTTCCGGTGTTCCAGACTCCAAGTTAACACTTCTGTTTGCCTTGGTGCATCGAATGACCGTACCGCCAACAGCAAGCTCAAACAGAAAGATCAGAAAGGACTTGCCATAGTGAGTGACAAAAGCAATGACAAGTCACCATGATAACAGCAGTGGCCACACTCGATAGACAGGAACCATGCACAGAATGATGGTTATTGATGATGGGCCTCAATGGGCCATGGCAATACATGACTGGCAACTAACAGCACACATGATGGCAGCATGAATGACAAGCGACAATGGTGACAGTGATGACAAGTCAGAATGGCAACAGTTGTATTCAGCACAGTTACAAGTTTCAAGGTATTACTAACATTTACTAACGGTATTACAAAGTCAAACAGGAATCTAAAGTGCCTTGAGCATGGCCAACTCTTATTGTCTAAGGTGTATGCTAATGCTGCTTCAACCTTATACCCGGGTGCCTTAAATCAATCTAACTCATCGCGTTGTACAGTGGTGTTCGTTCCTTCTGGGTGCTGAGGAAGAGCAAAGAGGAGAGCTTCGAGCCATGCAATTTAAGCACGGGCGGGTCGCGATGCTGGCCGTTTTGGGTTGGTTTCATGTGGCCGCTGGTGGGAGACTATGCGGTGGATGACAACCCCTTGGTGAGCATGAGCGAGATGCCCATGAGTTGGGCATGGCAGGTCTTCATGATCATGTGTGTGGAATGGCTGGCCACTTATGTTTGCTGGAGAAGCCTTGGGACATCTTGGGCTGGAGCGACATCATCATCGAGGCGGAGAAGAGCATTTGGAACCAATTCCGGAAGGCTGAGCTGCAGGAGAGCTGCGTCCAACGCCACTTGGAAAGGGCGCCCAGCAACAGCGAGGTCGCAAGGTTTTTCACGCTCAGAACTTGTTTGAGAACGTTCTCTTAAAGCAAAGCCATGCAGAAACAACCAAAGGACCACTTGGGAACAGCCAATAGCTTTTGAGGGGTTTGATCGGACCTTGTCTCCCTTCCAATCTTCCAACGAGTGTGCAACAAAGACGGAGGTGTACATGTGGTGTTCACCTCCTGCTTTGCTCCAGGAGGTGAACAACGGCCGGTTGGCCATGCTGGCCATCACTGGCCTCATTGCACAGGACCTCCTGTTGGGTGAATATGGCAAGACCTTTGTGGAGCTCCCCTGGCCTCAGGACCATGGTTGACTTTTGAAGAGACTTCCACGAAAAGGGAGGGCTGTTGAACAAACGCACCTCCCAAACTACAAGAACCGGTACTGGTATGAATCAATGGTCGATATCCAGGTGGCCTTTTTGGCAGACACATGAATCCCGCCCAGGACATGGGGGTCTATGAGCCCTTTGCCACGTTTCAATATCCAAGGCTTTTCCCTGAGCTTTAAGAGCAGCACAGAACGCCCTGCCGTAGAAACTTGAGAGACAAAGTCCATGACGTCAACCCCAACCCGTAAAGTTAAAGGATGCTTGTTGAGCTCTTAGAAGGCGAGATTCGCTTGGTATTCAGATCTTGATGCATTACGTTTACATTGCACCGTTCCCTCTTTCCCGCTGGCCTCTCGGCCAACGCCAACAACGCTCGGAGACGGCGGTGACGAGAAAAAGCGCGGGTGGATGCAGACTGCACCTAATTGGAGAGGTCCCCCGGAAGGTTCTCAAGCTCGGAGAACCTGCCGAGTTGAGGTTCCCTTTCCGGAAGTAGTGACCACAGCTTGAGAGCTCTCGTCGCAGTGACGGGCCTCTCCTCTGAGGTGCACTTCTTCCGCAATGTTTCAAATCGCCAGCGTCAGGCAGGGCCCAGGGCCTGTGAAATCTGGCTTTTGGTTCACTTGGCACTGCTGGTGACATGGAGGTGCACCAGGTGGAAGCTGGTGGCAGAAACGGCCTCACGTGTTGTTATATAGACATGCGTCGATTTTGTTTGGCACAGCCAGCTGGCCTGCTGGACTGAAAGAAGCGCAGTTTGCATGCAAAGCCATTTTTGCACATTGTTTATATATATATATATATTTGTTTTGATAAATTTCCCTCTATTTGTTGTGTGTATGATTGCATATGAATGATGATATATATATATATATGTGTGTGTGCATATATGTGTGTGTGTGTGCATAATTATATATATATATATATCCTTCCTTCGATTCGTTCAAGTCTTCTTTTTAATCTGTCTATCGGCTATCGGCTGGCTTTGTCTCAAGGCGGCCTCGGCTGAAAGCACGCCAAAGCAGCGCTGCTGTGGCACGGAGTCCCGCGGATCACGTCGGTGCCCTCGGAGTGGATGTTCACCTCGGAGTGCTTCTGTGTGGGGAATGGTTGACCAATGAAGAGCCTCCCCCCCACTAGGAAAAAAGTCCTACATCTCAATCTCCAGGCTGGTTTGGGGGTTCGGTTCATCAACAGTCAACATTACCCCTCGTTGCTTCAATTTGTTTCAGGAATAGGACTTCTTTTTTTGGTGCCGTGCTGATTTACGTGGCTTACTTCTACTTTCCCACCAATTTCTTCTACAGTGCGTGAACTCCCCAAAACCTCACAGCATTGCCAAGCTTTGCAAGAGAGAACCCTTGGAGGCAGCACAGCGCAAGCCACTGCAGCGCAAGGCCATGGGTCGTTGAGTCCTGCAGTTGCCGAAGACGCAACAGATGCATTTGCCAGAGCAGACCAGTGGAAAGTTTGTGAACGGTTTCAACCTTTGTTGAATGCGGGAATGCTGGCAGCTGCAGTTCAATCCTCATTTAGTGTAATGCCCTAACACACTCCAAATCATTGGAAAGAGTTTCCAATGGAACCATTTGTTCGGGCGGTGACTTTGGAACCACGGCAGCATTTAGGCAACTCGCAGCACGCTGTTTTAGGCAACAGCCCGCGCTTTCTTCGCCTTTTCGAGGAGATCGGCTGCGAGCCTTCGCTCCGGTGGGGCTTGGTGTGGCAGTCTTTTTAGAAGGCAACTTTTGCACAGAATTCATATGGTTTTGGGTGTGGCCTCCGGGCCATGACAAAAACGTCACACTTGCACAGACTTGCAACTGGGCAACATATTGCGATTGCAGGACTCCATCCAAAGAAGGTTTCGGCTGCAACGGTTGAAGCATCAGGCCAAACGGCCAACCGTTGTATTCAACTCTTTCGAATCATTCATTGAGTGGAAGGGTTGTGGCTTTTCCATGCTTTTCCGGTATTCATGCCAGATACCCCTGCTGTATCCTGCTGAGAGCAGAAGCACTGGTAGGATGCCACAAATAGGTCAAGTGGACATCAACTCATGCAAATCCAATGCTGATAGCCATCAGTGTCGCTATGTGGCAGTCTTTGGCATGGGGTCACAAGAATGGTCTTGCAGCGCACTCGAAAGTGGGTTCAGGTGGAGAAGGATGAGGAGCAGAGAGCACAAAGTGCTATGACGCAGGAGTCTCAGGGCAGGGTTGGGGCAGCGACTGCCTGGGTTCAGCAAGAAGATATATTGAAGATTATCGAAGTTGGGATTCCTGACCACTCGGCTAAATAATTTGGATCTTGACTCAAGGTCTTGAACAAATCTACTGTACATCTCTCTCGCTCTCTCTCTCTCTATATGTGGGTATATATATATATACGTGATATGTCTGATGTATATATATATATATATGTATTTATATGTGATATACATTTTTTTACACATACACATACACATAAGATACAGGGTTTTGGTTTCCTCCTGCCTTTGCAGAAGTCCGCCAGCATGGCTTTGCGTCCAGAGCCCCTCCAGATGAAACACACTAAAAGAACGCACACTTTGGACACCGCTTTAAAGATCTGCCGGCCAAACATAGGGGCGGACAACCTACTAGACTAGTGATGGCCTCCAACCTCATAGCGATGGCCTCCAATCTAATAGGAATGGCCTCCAACACTATCGGGCGACCCCCTGGCTCCCGCTCCGGAAAAGGTGGTGCCACCCTCGTCTCCCTGAGGCCCACTCCCGGTCGGGTGCGCTACGCGGCCTGGGAGCGGCGCTCGGGCGAGCCGAAGCCTGCAGTGGGTGAGAGGCGCAGTGACTGCGGTGTCTTTGGACACGCTCTTTGGAGCTGGTAGGGCAGCACCAGTTCGATATTCCACCTGAAGCTGATTTTTTTTTGAAAATAAACATGTGTGAGCGGAGGCTCTACAACGACGCTGCCAGAAGAGCCCTAAAGATGCGGCACTTGCAGGTGTGGCACCCTGCGGCAGTGGCTCAAAACATCGGCCTTCTCACCCACCAGTTGGCCCAGTTGGCAGAAGAAAGACAGGTCATATTTGTCAGAAGTTCTGTGATACAGTGAAGAAACGTGATATAGTGAGTGAGTGTTTTGGAGGCAAATCCATGGAAGTTCTCCAAGCAGTAGAGAGGTTCAGAAATGGCATCGTTGGACTTGGCCTGTTGATGAGTTTGCACCTGCAGAAGCCAACCGGGAAACTGAACAATACTAGGAGCAGGACTGCTGGTTTGACAAGAACACCATAATCATTTGATCCAATGTGTCTACGACTGAGGGCTCTATGGGGTCTATGGGCTGGTGGGTGATGTGACTGCTTCATGCATCTCTCAGGAGATGCGGGAGGAGCTGGAACGACAGCAGGAGCAACAGGAAGCGACGCCCGAAGCCCCGAACCAGCAGAACCCATGGATCATGGAGGTCTCGTGGACGGCAGGTCAGGAGGTCAGCCGTCAGGGAGTTACACTGGTCCGAACAAGGTCAATTGTGGTGACTTTGGGATACTTTGGGTACTGTGCAATGATGTGCCTTCCTCAAAACTCTTGGCTCAAATCCAAAAGACTGCTTTTGGCCAATCCCTATATAACACTTCCACTTAGGATTTGAGGCGAGAGTCCTGACGGCGATGTAGATTTAAATGTGGCACATCTAAAATTTGGTACACTTCCGCCTTTACCGTTGTATGGCTTCGCTGGTTCCCAACCTTACGGACCCACTCCAGCAGCAGCTTGACCAATTGACCTTTTGCCCCCCCACCCTCCTGGCTGCATTTTCACAGCCATATCCTTGAAGCACCTTGTGCCCGGTGCAGTATGTTGCTATAGATTCTTCAAACAGAGTTCAAATCCAGCCAATGGAGGTCGTACAAATACTGACGCGGAATAGTTCTTTGAGCGAAGTCAGCGCGTGCGGAGAAACCTCTTTGTCAAAGCCATTGAACAAGTATCACTTGCAAGCACAGGACTGGAATACATCATAATACAACACACTACCACAAGCTGTTCATACTTAGGAATGCGCAGGTCAGGAACCCCTCTCTCTTCAAATGCTTTACAAGGTGTCGTGCATGACTGCATGCGCGTTTGTCATCATTCTGCATCGATGATCATAGAATGTTGGACAGGGTTTTGATCGCACCTGGGGCACAGTTTGACGTGGGCCTGGCAGAGGCTCGATATTGGAGCCAATCGGCAATGGGATTGACCAAATCATCCCATTCATCATCATTCATCCAGGGTCAGTAGATAAGTTTTCCCACTGGATGTTGAGACAATCTGACAACTAGACCTGCTCTTCAGGTTCAGGCCTGCCATCGAGGCCGAACACCTCCGAAACGCATTTTTTTTTATGCCTTTTCACGTGTTTTTGCTCAGGTTCGATGATGCGCCACGACCGTTGTTGGGCTTCATTGGAAGATCAAGGATCTCATTCGTAGAGCCAATCCTGGTTCCGACAGTTGTTAGTCCACCACCTCAACGCCAAAGAAATTCGAGAGAATACGCCACTGAGATCAGCAACCTGCATAGTGGTTGGGTCTAGTACTGTATGTGCTGTTTGGGCCTAAAGTCTTTGCACCTGGTCATGGTCTACAATTGCTTCATCAATATGGACAATCCTGATTCTGAACTAGCCTCCTCCTGGTGTTGCGAGCTTGTTCAACAGGGCTGCGGTAGTGGCTGCGGTGTTCCAATTCCAACGCTTCCTCCAGCGGCCCGAATCTATGATCATCTATGGACCTTTCTGATGACCATCAACCGTTTTCCTGTTGGGTCATGATTGCCCTGCCTTCAGCCCCATGGCATCTCATGGACACCCGGCCGTCCCGGTCCTCCACCGGACGAGCGTCGCACGGCCAGGCGTCTCAGCGGCGCTGTCAAGGCACGTCCAGGTCCTCACAGGATCCTGCTGGATTGAAGACCAGGCGGGGAACGGAGATGGGTGCCATTTGGAGAGAAGTATGAGCTGAAAGCCGCCACCTGGAGGTTGTGCCTTGATATTTTTTGAAGAGGCAGAATGTGTGAAGGTGGGAGGCACATGCATATGTAAACTATCTCAAATTCCGGCGCTGACCTGTCTACAGCTTCGGCAGTCAGACTAGAATCAGAGCCTCAGTGCCTTCTAGGAAGAAGATGGACAGACTTCGCGACATCAAGCAGAAGAACGAGCTTGACGGCCTTTGGCTTGGCAGATTGACCATCATTGATCACAGCAGCATGCAACAGCTCCCCGCCTGCTATCGGTAAGGTTGCACCTTCAAGCCGGAGATTGATCAGAGGTCAGAAGAGTTGATCTCCCAAAGATTGGCTCGGCTCAAGATCACCGGGACCTTGTGCCCCAGGAGTTTCCTTTAAACACATACTTTGCATTGTGTGGTCCAGGTGCCAGCTTTCATGGCGCATCGTGCCGAGGTACGATTCCCTCTACGAAGACGCCGTTCGAAGACGCGAAAGACAGCTAGAGTCCACTCGCGCGAAGAGCTCAGTTTGTGAGGGTGAACTCCTCCGATTACCTGCTTGTGTGATGCTGGAAGACAGTTGTTGTAGGTGTCCCATTTTGGATGCATTTCATGTATCGTTATTCGGATTCGCTTCAATCGTGCTACCTGTCGCATAATATACATGGCCCAACGTGGCAAACACATCAAACCGGGGAAGGGTTTTCTATTGGTAGGAGAGTTGGTAAGAATGTGGCTGCTGAAAGCTGGGAAGTAAGAATGCAGAACCGCCATGTGAAGGTGCTGCCTCCTGGTGTGACTTTCCAGCCTGACATCGGTTTGGACCGGTCAGCAGAAATGATACCATCCATTCCAGACGTCTGAGGGCCACTGAGCAATCAGAAACGACAAGAGGATATAAATTGCAGAGATCTAGAGTAGCTATTTGTCGACAAGTTTTACTTTCACCTCCAGCCTTGGCGAACAATCAAAAGGGAGAGAGAGAGAGAGCCAAGACATGGTTTCATGTGTTGTCTTCCCTGTGATGTGTGTGAGGGGTGACTTGTGGCTAAATTGACCACACCGATTTCACCAGTGCCGGTCGCTTGTCACCGCAGGACCCCAACAGACCCTCCAGTGAGAACAAGGAGGAGTGGTGAACTTCCTCAGCCAGTGCCGGTCGCCGGTCGCTAGCTTGCATTTTCTCCTCACGAGGGCCACTTCTAGCTCTCACCTTCCGTTCTTTGTCAACTACTCATGGCCGCTGAGTCACCATCCCGTGGGATATATATATATATATATTTTTTTTCCCAGCGGTCCATTCCTTTGTGACACAGTGACACCTGCAGGACTTCATCAACCGACTTGCTTACTCCAAGAGCTATTCGGACCGCCGGGGGGCCGTGCCGTGTCGTCTCTCTCGTCCGGGCCGTGTCGCGCGATGGTCGTTCGCGTCCGGTCGACGTGCTCGAAACACCCAGGCTGGGTGTCCCTGCGGCGGCAGAAGCAAGAGCAGGAGCGCCAGTTGAAGGCACCGGAGCGGACCAGCGAAGCAGAAACAAGCAGAAGACGAACGACGCACAGCTGCGGGACATGTGAAGTCACAACCCCCTCGCCCAGCCTCCTGCAGCGCAAGAAGAAGGAGAATGATCAATGATCCGCAGGGATTGAGGCGTTCGGTCTTTTTAAACACCTGTCTGCGGTATTCCTTCATGAATACCATGATGTCCATGTCCAGCGGAGGGTAGTGTACATCTCACCTGACGTGGGCAACCCCTTTGGAATGCACCTGCACACTCACCAGATGCACAATGGCGCGATGTTGAGTGGTGACCCTCACTGCATGAGCACCCGTTTGTTGATCATCCCGATTTCATTCGGAAACACCTTAGCTTGACTTCCTGAGTGAGCCCCATGCCAACAAGGCCGGCCCTTGCCCTGCTTCCAGCCCCATTCTCCCACAGGACTTGGACGGACAACCTGAGTTGGTCACTCAGACAAGAGAAGAGTTGGCTGTCCATGCTTTTTTTCTGCGCCCTGGGCGCTGCGGCTGACAGCCAGACTTGCGATTTCAGTGACACAAAGTCGCGGGAAGGGTTCAGCTCACCGGAGAAAGAGATCCTCAACAAAGATAAGACAGCTGATCATTTGAAGTTTTAAGTCAGCGCCTGCACTTTTGCATTTTGATTGAGGTTCCATCCACGGACCGGACGAGGGCCTTTGGTGGTGCAGGGCCCAGCCGGTTGTCACAGATGGAAATGCCCATCGGGCACGATAACAGTTCAGACCTTACTGTAATATGTAGGGTCCCCAAAAGATAGAAACCAGCATCCCCTCCCCCAAAACAAAAGTCATGTGGACGGAGCTTCTCTGAACAAAAACGGTGGCCTCCATGCCGGGTGACGAGTCCTCCGGCGACATCGGGCCAATGAAACGAGGGCGACTCGGGTGGATCCAGCGCGACGTAGGCTTGGACAACGCCGGTGCCGTTCTGTGCCAGCGAGGGCCGTTTCGAAGAAGTATGGATCCACCCGGACATATTCGGAAAATCACCCTCCGCTAATGTTTTGGGAAAGGAACTCCATGAACTCATCCACTGAACCGACCGAACAAGGAGACCTCCAGGTCGGTTTGTGCCCTTTCGGTGACCCTGGTGAACCTCAGGGCGACCTGCGTCGCTAGGAGCGGAACAAGTACGGCTTGCCCATTGGAGACTTTCTCTACGAACATGCCCGGGAGAAGGCGTCCTCATCGCAGGCCAGGCGTCCTCATCGGGATGATGGAGTGGAGAGGATGATGGCATGTTCTGAACCTCAAATGGTTGCCTTTAATGCAACTTCTAATATCGTATTGATTTGTATTGATAGATCCCAAAAAATCTCCCAAATCTCCCTTGGTGTGGTCATCATGGTCATCCATGTAAGCTTTGTCACTGCTGGTTCCCCACGTTCACGTTCAGGCTCAGGAGCCACAACCCTCCACTCCGCGCATGGGGGAGAACTCTCGGCAGCTCTTTGAGGACGAAGTCGCCTGAACGCTACTCCTCGAATGGGCTTCCATTGGAGATTCCAAACGGATGCTGCTTCGTTTGGCGTTCCTGGGTTCTCACCAAACGACCACCTAAAGGCTGAGACTGTGTTTTTCGGATGGTCAAGTGATGGTCAAGGTGGCTTCTTTGCGATGAATGAGACTCGAGACTGCTACAGACTGCTAGTAGGTCTTTTTGCGTCCCGTGTGATGGGGCGGGTCTTGGTGTGGCTCGCTTTTGATTTTGGTGGGTGGTTGATGGATCAAGGTCAGATGACACACGTCTCAAAAAGGGGGGCCCTCCAAAGAGCCTTTTTGACTGCACTGCAGATCAGAGTAGAGATTTAAATATTGATGCAGGTGAATTGAAGGGCCTTGTGTTCAGGCATACGGCCTACTCACCTGCTGGTTGGCTGCAATGCAATGATGCTGCTACTTGCTGTGACTTCTCTCCCTGCTACATATCCTTGTGCATGCAAGTGAGGAGACAAAGCAGCGAACATACAAGCAATTGTTCGACTTGCTGACCTGCAAAGACTCTGAGGTGGGGTTGATCTTGGACTTTCAATGGTTCTTGATGCCCGCCGTCACAGTTTTTTTTGCTTCCGTGGTTCTTCATGGTTCTTTAGGTTTCTGAACTTCTCGTTGGTTTTATGAAGCAACAACCTCACAAAAAGCCTTGGGACACCTCCAACCGGTCCGACCCCACGGGCGTGGTGGGGACGAAGATTTTGCCAGCTGCAGCTGTGCAGCCAGGGGCAGCTACAAGCAGAGACGATTTGTTTAGACGGCTCGGGACCAAGCTTGGTGAAAAAAGGACAGTAGTGAGCTCCAGAGTCCAACTCTCATGGCCCATGTTAGTTGGTGGGAGGGTACTGTACGGGACCTGCGAGGAATATTTGATGTGATTGCCTCTCCGTTGGCCCCAGGACGGCGTGGAGCTGGATTTGGCCAAATCCGTCGTAAGAACGGGGGACGAACACCTGCCCCCTGAGTCGACATTTCAAATGGGTGTGAGTCAACACCGGGCGACCCGGTTTTTTCCCGAAAATGAACAGGCCATGGACCTACAGGAGGTCAACCGGGCTGGTGAACGGGGAAGAGAAGGTGCACCCCCAGCCAAATCAGTGACTGAGGCTTGGACTCCGACTTGCGAGCCTTCCTTCAGCCGATGGTCTCCCTCGCGCTGCCTTGGAGCTGAAGCGGATCGGAGAAGCAGCGGAGTCTGAAGTCTGAAGCTTCTTCAGAACTGACTGCTCGCTGCGTCAGTTTCAGAGTTTTCAGAATCAACTTGCTTTTGAGTTAAGCCGCGCCCCTGCCACATTATGCTGATAGGACCTGATAGGTCCATAGCCAGTCTTCGCCAGGTTTCATTCTTGGACTCCAGTCAACACAGAATGGAGTTTGAAGCCTTCTGCCGAAGCCTTGGTGCCCAAAAGCACAGCAAAACTGCAAAACTTGCCACCTGTGGGGAGCGACCCGCGGGAGCAGCGTGCCTGGTCGCACGACCTGCAGGTGCTGCACTGGACTATCAACGTCAGCACGCCAGGACCTCAGCCGGGGGAGCCGATAGCTGATAGTGCGAGGCGCCTGGTGGTCGATGTCGCACTGAGGCTGTGATGCCGACGGCACATCTCTTCACGCAGAGGAACTCGAGGGGAAAGGAGAAGGCGTGGGGAAAGGAGCAGATCGTGGAAGAGAAGAAAGACTGGGACAGTGGATGGCATCCTTGAATTCAAGTCTTCAGTGGTTGAGGGCCTAAAGTTTTTAAAGCTCGCGTCGTTCCACGAATCCCTGTGAGAGTGGCCGCTCTCTCCGATGTCTTGGGCCCAAAAAGGCACCCGCTTCGTGGTTCGGCCTGTGGCCAAGCCCCAGAGGCCAATCCCGAGACGCCTGTGCCAAAGATCGATCAGAATAGCCGCTGGGCGAACACCGCCGGAAAGGGTAGAGAGAACGAGAACAGACCATGTGTGGTGAACACTCTGCGCGGTGAGTGCCCACCTTGTTGATAACAGACGAGGTTGAACCTCTAACCTCTAACCATATGGTTCACCCATGTCCAGGCGAACTGGGAGTAAAGACTGCAGGGTACAACCGTGGACTCCGTGTCCGGATATGGACATGAAGCCTCCAGCTATTTTGCACCATAGGTGTTGAGAGCCCAAGGAGCCCACCTGCCCACAGCTGTCGCTCTTCGGGAACAGGTGAGCTTCTAAATACCCCTTCGGCCACTGTCCGTGCGTGGCAGCCGTCCGTGCGTGCGCGCAAGAACTCCATTCCTCTCAAGCCAACACGGTCTGTGCGACGCCTGTGGTCCATGGCGGTCTTGGTGTCGTCCTCACCTCGGCCCCCGGCAGCCCTTGGTGTCCAACAGCTAGGTGTCCGGCTGGCATCGAAGCGCAGATCTCGGAGTGTGTCTTGGCAACAGCCGGTTTTCGCCCGCCAATGGAACGGGCGCAGGTCAAGACCCCGCCAGACAAGGGGGGTATGTGAAAAACCGGGTGATCTTAGTGCCAAGAGAGTCGAGCATGCTTGATATCATGACGACTTACTCCGCCAATTTTGGTGGAGGTTCGCGGTTCGCATATATAAAAACGACTTGGCCGCCATTTCGCCGATCCTGATTCTGCCTCCATGTTTGGCAGAATGTTTGATGCGCTCTTTGAGGTGCCGCTCCATGTGCAACTCTTCCGTTGTGGGCTCAGAGCTGGGCAAAGCATTCGGTGGAGTGGAAACTAGTCTAAGGCCCCCCCAAAACGATCATAGAAACCAGTCTAAGCGAAAGGGTGTATGAATGACTACATGCGCCATTACAAATAAGAGCCTAACTGAGGTGAGAGAGATGTCCGGGATGCACGCATGGAAGAGCCCTCTTCTCAGCCGGACGTCGCGATGTCTGCTCAACAGAGCTGCAAACACAGTAGCAGCACAGCCAGAGCTGTTTGGCGTGTGTTGGAAGGGCTGAAAGAGGTGGAAAAACTCTCCGAAAGAGTAAGGACTAAAGACCCCATTATATATATATATTTGGATATATATATATACACACACGAGCAACCACCTTTATTTAGGCTTTACTAAAGCAGTCTACGGCCTACGGCATGCTCTATTTGCTTGTCTATCATCAGCATTCGCTTGTGAACGAGAACAGGGCCCCACAAAAACGATATACTTTTGCTTGATGATACTGAAGTATACAGTCTGAACGAGATAGTGTGATCTGCTACTAGAGTAGTCTGAACGAGATACTGTGACATGACCTACTACTTAAGTAGTCTAAACGAGATAGGGTCCCCACATAATAGGTAGTGGTAGTGTATTTGAGTTTAGTACCAAATAAATGCCACCGCACATATAATAGGAACCCTGCCCGTGGGCTTTTTGTCCCGAGAGCAGCCACCCAAGCGTCACGGAGGCGCAGGCTGCTGGCTGAAGAAGCAGAGTTGCAGGAGATGCCAGAGATGATGGTCAAACCTACTCGTATGAGACCGTGAGATCTCAAACTCTGATTTTGATAGGCATGGTATTTTTCACCCTGACCCAGCAGGCTGTCAGCAGAGTGTTTGGTGTTGTTTCCAAGTTGTGTTGTTATGACAATTGACATCACCCCCAACCACCACCAGTCCACACGGTGAGAGTGAACCATCCTTGTTCTCAAGATTTGTTCACCCGCCTTGACCTTCTTTTCTGGTGAGACTTTTGGGGCACCCGTGGCTCAAATCCCGAAGACTATTGGCCACGTTGGGCACAAGCTCCTCAAGACGCCGCTGAGCCTGAGCCTAGAGTCTTAGGGAGAGGCGTTGAGCCATAGGTTCTTTCTAAGAGTTCACTGGTTCCCACTTCCCCCACCCATGACTCGCAGATGGCCTGACTGGTGTTGCAAGGAGTGCACCTTCCGCCCGAGGGTGGGCCGCCATAATGGCCGGTCCTGGAGCTCCCGGAGCAGCGTGGCTGGAGAGGGGATGGGCCGCAGATTTTTGGAAATACTTTGGCCCCAGCCGTGGAAGACGCATGGCAAGTTCTCCACCCAAACTGGACGTCATGGCAAGTCCCAATCAAAAACCATGGTTCATGGCAATTTCCCCAGTCAATGCTGTGTGCATGCTTGCATCAAAAATTCCGCAACATTCTGCAACCTTTATATAGTGGGTGACTGTTTCAATCAATTCACATATTCTCCTCCCACGAATGGAAGGTGTTTTGGATCCAGTGCTTAAGCGCCAGGGTCAGTTTGCACCGTAGAATGCTGCAAGAAAGAAGTCCTCACCAACGTCCCAGGATGATCCGAGAAATGCTTGGAACATCTTGGAACCTTAATCCTTTGACAGCTCGTTGTGGACCTTGTAACTCAGTCATCATCCTTTCACAGCTCGTTGGATAGGTCACTCATTGCCCCCAAAAAGGTCGCTGAGCCCGACTGGTCGCCCAGGTTTCAGACAAGACAGTCCTGGTGTCAACTCAAGCCCCAGCTCATCTCCACAAGTCTGGAGACTCTGCTGGATGCGTTTGTGGACTCGGACTTGTGGAGATGTGGCACAACTTGGTGGCTGAGTGTTACTCTTTTTTGGGGGGGGTGGAGGCAGAGTGAAAGGACGTGGATGGGAATTGATGGACTTGTTGATCCATGTTTATCCGTTTTGCTTATCCCTCCAACCAAGTTTTACGTTAAAGCTGGGCTTGCTTGCCACTACCTTTCTCTGATCTCTCGGAAAGAATGAGATTTGAACATGTCACGATGAGGCTTGGCTTTTCGCGGAGGCAACACCTATGGGCCATTCTTTGGAGACCCACCGAACGAGTCATACCCGTGGAAGGGGGACTTGAACATTCCAGAACGGTTCGGTTGAGGAGTTTGGAGTCTTCCCGTCGAGAACAGGTTCAATCCTTTGAGCCCAGTCGCTCCACAGGCTGAGCCGAGTCGTGGGTCCTTGAAGCAGTGAGAAACTGCTTTAAAGTGCATACTAGTAGTAACAAGTGCATCGCTTCTAGTAACAAGTGCCTTACTAGTAGTAACAAGTGCTCGCTACTGGTAACAAGAAGCTACTAGTAGCTTAAGTCCAAGTCTAAGTACCTACTGGACATCTACCTATAATTACCTATACCTACCTTTATATACAAAGCGTACCTCCTGAATGCTGAGATGACGAGGATCATGGTAGATCTAAGTGGAAGTCGAAGAGCAGAGCTCGCAAAAGGGAACAATCCAGGACAATGTCACAGTAGTTCGCATTTTGCAGCAGCGCGTGGCTTGGGTACTGAAAAAGCCTATAGCCCCAGCACATAGAAGGAGATCCAGTACCCAAAGTGACAGTAGCTAACATTTAGTTTCAATATATTCCGACTTCTTGGAAGTCATATTGATGTTCTTCGCTTGTTGTTTCAGTACTGCCCGCCTGATGGTGAAGAGTCGAGGTCTGACATTCCCCTGTGCCCTTTTCAGGTGCGGCCCCAGCTCCGAGAACACCTCGAGGCCATTTAGACGAGACCGCGCTCTCAAATACTCCAGTTGCATCCACTTTCCATGTTCGTATATATATAGTATGCATGCATGCAGACAGACAGAGAGAGCCAGACATGCATACTGAGACAGACAGACAGACAGACAGACAGACCGACAGACAGACAGACAGGCAGGCAGGCAGCCAGCCAGCCAGGCAGACAGACAGACAGACAGCCAGCCATGCATGCATGCATGCATACACACACACACACACGCACACACATACATAACTAACATACATACAAACACACATACCAACATACATACAAACAATCAAACATACAGACATACAAGCATACATGCATACATATGTGCATGCATAACAAAAAACAAACAAACAAACAGACAGACAGACATACACACACAATCATACATACATACATACATACATACATACATACATATACATACACATACACATACACATGCACATGCACATATACATATACATATACATTTACATTTACATTTACATTTACATTTACATTTACATACATACATATATATATATATAATATATATATATTCATAACAAACAAGCAAGCAAGCACGCAAGCAAACAAACAAGCAAACAAAAGCATCCATCCATCCATCCATCCATGCATGCATGCATGCATCCATGCATATACACACACATACATACATACATACATGTGCCATGAAGCCCCGTCAGTTGAGCTTCTCGACAGCTGACATACAAGACTCTCGATCAGCGGCCATGACACCCAGCCGCACACCAGCAGCCACCACGGCGCCAAGATCAGCGTACATGCCCAATGAACAGGCTGCAGAGGCACCTAAAGAAGAGTCCTTGGAGGATGACCCTATGCTGGAGGTCGACTTCTTGTAGTACCAGAACCTGCGGCAAGGGCCCAGCACGCAGCAGAAAAGACACCCCTTTAGGAAAAAACACACATACACACCTCGATAGGGTTCATTCAGAGCGATAATCCAACGGAAGCTAGTTATTGAATACTTAGCATTCTAGTTTCTGAATACTTAGCACTTGACTCGACAAACGGAAAGGTGGTAGGTCAGCATACTTTTAGGTGTTTAAACAAGGTATTCCGGAAACTAGCTACTGAATGCTTAGCACTCCTGAATCAATGGCATGCATAGAGATTAGACTAGTGCAGGTACATGGGACTGGCCACGTCCCATATCCCGCGATATCACCCAGATTCGTTGGTCAACGTTGGTGATTTCGCGCCTTGACCCCCTGCATGATTAAAACCATTGGAATCAGGGTGGGGCACACACAAAGTGCTGTACTGGCGTTAAGAAGGTAACAACGCAGTAGGCAGCTTAAGAACTACTCAGGTTCTATAAAAGTGAATACTTAGCCCTTGACTAGAAAAGACGAATACTTAGCACTTGACTAAAATGAGCCTGGCTACATACCTGAAAAGCCTCTAGTCAAAAGGCAAACCTAGAAGGAGACACGAAGGCAAGAGAGAAAGAAACGAAGCCGAGAGCCTCAAGAGCATTCTGACAAGCCTGAAGACACACCCACCTAACAAACGAAGAAACCGCAAGAAAGAAAGAGGGTAGGGGGGGGGGGGGGTGGGGTTCATTCTCCGTAAGCCCGGCGGCATTGATTCTCCGTGAGCCCGGCGGCATAAATTCAGTTTGCCCGTGCAGATCAGAGAAGCAGTTAGAAAAATCTAAGCAGAACTGTGGAGCTGTTAATGATAATCCACGATGGTTTCAGCACCCCTCGCGGGGATCACACTACGCGCCAGAGTGGGAAGGCGCAGCAGTTCACACTTCGATAGGATTCATTCAGAGCGATAATCCAACGGAAGCTAGTTACTGAATAAGAAGCACTTGACTCGACAAACGGAAAGGTGGTAGGTCCGCATACTTTTAGGTGTTTTAACAAGGTATTCCGGAAACTAGCTACTGAATACTTAGCACTCCTGAATCAATGGCATGCATAGAGATTAGACTAGTGCAGGTACATGGGACTGGCCACGTCCCATATCCCGCGATATCACCCAGATTCGTTGGTCAACGTTGGTGATATCGCGGTTTGACCCCCTGCATATTGTTACCATTGGAAACAGTGTGGGAACCACGCGCGTACATACATACATACATACA